GAAAATAGTTTGAGTTAGTATAACATGTAAACCCAATTAATGAAGGAAAATGTTGGAATAACAATTTACATGTATTATTTATCAAAAAAAAAAAACAATTTACATGTATTAATGAACCAAAACTGTAAAGATAATTCGTTTAATCATTTGGAGATACAATTTGGTATTTAAAGAGCTAAAACAACTAATTCGCAATATGTTTAAAGTTTAAACACGTAAACAAATTCCAAATTACTCTATTGCTTACGGATAGTCACCCTATGTTTTTGTTTTGAATAAAATTCATACACACACAATAAATGCTATATATCTTGAAAAAGCTTATCCAAAAATAACACAAATCCTTTGGTCACTGTCCCTCGCGCACTTATCACTTCTTGTTAAATAACAATGCTCGTCACGCCGGCGAATCCATGCGGTGGATTATTCGTTTCCCGTCGCATTTCCCGGCAGAGATCTCAAATAACTAAACTACCCTCCCTCACAAACTCGAATAACCGAAACACCCTATTCACCGTCCCTCCGCTAGTGGCGACGGCGACGATGACGAGAGCTTCGAAGCCGTTCCGGTGCGGTGCTCGGAGAAGAGTGAGAGACGACGTAGTAGATGAAGATGAATCGTACGGATACAACGAAGAGACAGCAATGTTGGAGATTTATAGCCAATCGTGTAGAGAAGAAGCCCTTATAGTCACCGCCATTGTTGACGACGAAGAAGTCGAAGTTCTCATATTCAAAGGAGTTTCGTCGTGTTTGAGCGGAGAAACGGCGGTGGATCCGGCGAGGAGTGTGTTGCCGGAGAGAGCTTTGATTACAAAGATAGATAGAGTGAGAGGCCCTTTTGATCCTTCAGAGATTCATTACATTCAAAAAGGACTCTCTTTTCAAGAATTCAAGGAGACAATGATCAAGCCACAAGAGTAATACATGTATAGACTTCTGAGTTTTTGATATGGTCTGATTTCAAGTTTCACAATTAAATAAAAACTACTAATAATAAACTCATTTCTATTTATAAGAGAAACAATATAACATCAC